GTAGAAGACATCTCCCATTTGTGTTGCCTTTTATCATTGAACCGATTTTGCTTTTGCTTTTAAGTCTTCAGATCCTTTATCTGGCCCGAGCCGGTCGTACAACAAACCACACATCAAAATCTGTAGCTCCAGGTAGCAGACGCTGCTTTTTTGCCACCCAGTCACGTCATTCAAAGATCCTCTTATAGCCACAGCAAATTTGCAGAACTTCTCCCTAGAAATTGCAAGTAATATATCCAGACAGAGCGCGATGTATAGTGTCCTGAAGCAATATGTCCCCAAGTTCAGTCTCAGCAACCACATCAATGCACATGCTGCACTAATCTGTCTGTTCATCCTTCCCTCACTTGTGAATAAGACCTTCCGATACTTGAACCCCTTAAGGAAGGACCTCTCCACCCACCTGAAGAGGGTAAGGCTCCTTTTTATCCGGTCGAGTCTGTGTCACGACTTAAAATCTTACATGACAATAACTCCTGTTGTCTGTAGCCAGCTATAGTATACTATATATTGAAACTTCTACTGGCAAAAATTCCACCACCCTTTATACTAAAGAGACCATACTACCAGCTGGTGGAATGGTAGTTATGTAGATCTTATTTATCAGCAGGGAGACACAATGCTTTGCTTTGAATGTCGCACACTATAGCATTAATTGGCTTGATACCTTAAATGATACTATATATACATTTCCGATCAATCAAGTTCACATGTTCACTATGATGCTGCATGGATGTCAAACAAAAGCCAGTTCACACACAGGGACATGAGCTGGGAAAAGTGGTAGAGGATTGGTGGAAGGGTGACAGAGACAGGGGGTAAATGAGCATTACAGGGTTACTCACACATTCATAACTTAACTCCAGATGAAAAGCTCAGGATATCCCTTTTAATGATATGACCCCTTTAATATCATTATTAGGGCTGGGACTCGATTAAAAAAATAACCTAAATAATTAAAGGCTTTGTAATTAATTAATTGCATAACAGTGAGAAGTAATTTTTTTCACATGGATTTTTAGTATAGCATTGAATAATGACTGAATACATAAGCTTAAGCAACACATGTTAATTGTGGATGATAGGGATCAGACGGTGCTCCTCCTCACACACAGAAGACGCTACCGTCCATTGTTCCATAAACAGCGCTCATTCTTGTCTCTAACTCACTCGGATTTAGACACCGCTATAGTTGGTCTATGCTTGTAATAATGTATTTTTGAACAAAAAAGTCACTGAGCTTCGGTTGGTGCTCCAGTACAATCGGTTCGTCTGAAACTCATCCAGTGAGGAACGTTACGTGGTGCAAAAATAAATACAATTAAAATGCGTCAATTTTATTAACGCGCTAATTTTTATGTAATTAATTAATCTTAATCAACGCGTTAAAGTCCCGGCCCTAATCATTATTGATTAAGTATAGGCACCTTCAAAGGTGATTCAATGAGTTCACTCTGACATGTAAACATATAATAATAAGATACTTAAGTTGTTATTTGAGAAATATCAGAAAATCAGTTAAGTACATTCACAAATACGTGTATATAGAACTCTATTATCTATAGGGAATGCTCTTTGCAGTAGTCAAGTCATTGGTACAGACAATATTGAAATATGATTGCAATAAATAGAAATTTAAACATACATTGTTCAGAAGTGTGTATGGCTCATACGTTCACATATCACATGTGCAACACTGAAGCAACACAGGGCCGCAGGAACCCTCGAAGCAGTAACCCAGGGAAACGGTTGGTCCACTAGTCAAAACACAGGTCAACAAAGTCAATTATTATTACAGAAATACGTATTGATCATTTCATAAGCGTCACACAGAGACCCTGAAGCTGTTTGTGTTCGGTGCTCATGACTATTGCTTTGGACACTACACAGGAGGTTTGGTATTATCATATGCAATGTATTGTTATTCTTTGGAAGGTAATTATAAAGCATTCTATCTTACATATAATCCTTACATATGTATGTGTATATATTAGGGCTGTCAAACGATTACAGTTTTTAATCAAGTTAATTACAGCTTACAAATTAATTGATCGTAATTAATCGCATTTCAAACTATGGGTAAAATTATGCCATATTTTTCTGTAAATATGGCAAATTCTGGAAAGATAAATGACAACATAATCCACATACAGTGGGGCAAACAAGTATTTAGTCAGCCACCGATTGTGCAAGTTCTCCCACTTAAAATAATGACAGAGGTCTGTAATTTTCATCATAGGTGCATTTTAACTGTGAGAGACAGAATGTGAAAAAAAATCCAGGAATTCACATTGTAGAATTTTTAAAGAATTTATTTGTAAATTATGGTGGAAAATAAGTATTTAGTCACTTCAAACAAGGAAGATCTCTGGCTCTCACAGACCTGTAACTTCTTCTTTAAGAAGCTCTTCTGTCCTTCACCTGTTACCTGTATTAATGGCACCTGTTTGAACTGGTTATCTGTATAAAAGACACCTGTCCACAGCCTCAAACAGTCAGACTCCAAACTCCACTATGGCCAAGACCAAAGAGCTGTCGAAGGACACCGGGAAAATAATTGCACCAGACTGGGAAGAGTGAATCTACAATAGGCAAGCAGCTTGGTGTGAACAAATCAACTGTGGGAGCAATTATCAGAAAATGGAAGACATACAAGACCACTGATAATCTCCCTCGATCTGGGGCTCCACGCAAGATCTCATCCTGTGGGGTCAAAATTATCATGAGAACGGTGATCAAAAATCCCAGAACCACACGGGGGGACCTGGTGAATGACCTGCAGAGAGCTGGGACCAAAGTAACAAAGGTTACCATCAGTAACACACTACAACGACAGGAAATCAAATCCTGCAGTGCCAGACGTGTCCCCCTGCTGAAGCCAGTGCATGTCCAGGCCCGTCTGAAGTTTGCCAGAGAGCACGTGGATGATACAGCAGAGGATTGGGAGAATGTCATGTGGTCAGATGAAACCAAAGTACAACTGTTTGGTATAAACTCAACTCGACGTGTTTGGAGGAAGAAGAATACTGAGTTGCATCCCAAGAACACCATACCTACTGTGAAGCATGGGGGTGGAAACGTCATGCTTTGGGGCTGTTTTTCTGCTGGACAGGACGACTGATCCGTGTTAAGGAAAGAATGAATGGGGCCATGTATCGTGAGATTTTGAGCCAAAACCTCCTTCCATCAGTGAGAGCTTTGAAGATGAAACGTGGCTGGGTCTTCCAGCATAACAATGATCCCAAACACACCGCCCGCGCAACGAAGGAGTGGCTCCGTAACAAGCATTTGAAAGTCCTGGAGTGGCCTAGCCAGTCTCCAGACCTCAACCCCATTGAAAATCTGTGGAGGGAGTTGAAAGTCCGTGTTGCTCGGCGACAGCCCCAAAACATCACTGCTCTCGAGAAGATTTGCATTGAGGAATGGGCCAAAATACCAGCTACTGTGTGTGCAAACCTGGTAAAGATCTACAGTAATCGTTTGACCTCTGTTATTGCCAACAAAGGTTATATTACAAAGTATTGAGTTGAATTTTTGTTATTGACCAAATACTTATTTTCCGCCATAATTTACAAATAAATTCTTTAAAAATCCTACAATGTGAATTCCTGGATTTTTTTTTCACATTCTGTCTCTCACAGTTGAAGTGTACCTATAATGAAAATTACAGACCTCTGTCATTATTTTAAGGGGGAGAACTTACACAATCGGTGGCTGACTAAATACTTTTTTGCCCCACTGTATGTACTGTATTTGTTTATTATAACAACAATAAATCCACATAAAATGACATTAACATTATTAACATTCTGTCTTTCTGTAGTAGACTCAGACCAAAACTATTGTTTGTTACAGGGATGAGGGACATTTCAAAACAGTCTGAAATGCAGAATGTCCTTAAATTTGTTTGATTTGCTCACATTTTACTATTGGGCACAACCAACATGAGCTGTTAATGTGAGGGAAAATGTACGTACCCCAGCTTTAATTTAGCGAGTTTATTTGCGTTTCGGGAGGAGACACAGACACTTCCTGAGGCTCCATGGTCCAGCTTCAGAGGTGTATTTATTGCATGCACAGGTCACGCAAAGACACGCACACAACCTGCAGAGAATAGTTCTGTTTGTGTAGGGTCTTGGATTGAACCACTTTACGGCGGCGGTGTTCACCGTCTTGTTGTTAGCGGCTCACAGCCGCTGGAGGTGAGAACCGCTGCCCAGAGCGGCCACAGCTGCCTCCGGTAAGAACGCTGCGACCGCGGAGGATGCGGACTTCAGTTCATTACAGCAAACAACAGCAAGTGCCCCGCAGTCACGCGAATATTGTTTTCAAACTTGACATCCCGGAGGACCTACCTGCTCTGTCGGCATCTTACACACGCACCTGTCCGCGGCATTCTGAGTGTTATTATGGGATACATGGGTGGGTCATTCGGATATGCGTCAAACGCATTAATTTTTTAAATGCAATTAATGAAAAAAAAAAATTACGTGCGTTAACGCGATAATTTCGACAGCCCTAATATATATATATATATATACATACACATACATATGTAAGGGTTATATATATGATAGAATGCTTTGTAATAACTTTCCAAAGAATAACAATACATTGCATATGATAATACACAATTCTCCTACTCTTGAGGAAATAGAATGTAGACTAGTGAAACAAGCTACGGACGAGGTTCGGTTTTAATTATCTATACTATTTGCCTTGTTTTTGGCACATTCTAGTGCACCAGCACTGACCACTCCAGTATATGTATACATGTACTGCATAAACACTACTAGTACTTACAGAACAGTGCTTGTGCAAAGGTGTGCATATGTACATGAAGCAGTTTTATAGGCTGTACTTAATCCATCATGTACAACAAACCTGATGTACATGAAGCATCACAAACACAGGTTCACTCACTATAGACCACAGCGCAACACACAGAAAACACATGGTGAGTGTACAGTGGCAGGCAGTGTCCTGGAAAGGGTGATGTCCTAGTCCTTGGTAAACTCCCCGGCCTCCCAGCGCAGTGCCATGGCACTCTTCCTCCTCACGCCGCTGTAAACCTCTGGGAACTGCACACAGGCCACTTTACAGTTAAAATGGAACATGTGCCCTCTGGCATGAATCTAAATTCCTCATTAGCCTGCTAGCTGAGCGGTTGCGAACATGATTTGTGATTGGAACATTGTTTCATATATCAGCCTATACTCCAAATATTCTATACAACAAAACTTACAGTTGCACACAAAACATGAAAGCGGAGAGTGCAAAAAGAGAACATTATAACATTTTGACTTTGGCCATAATCTTGGATGTACATTATTATGATTGTAAATATTGGTATGATATTATAATCTATTATACCACAGAGCATTTGGCTCATTGTGGTTTAGGTAAAGTATGCCTTCTTACTCTGTGGTCGCAGGACAGCACGGAGCGATCCATCTTGTAAGATGTCTTCATGGGCGACGAGGGGGACGACTTGCACTTGACTGGCTCTGTCAACACAACACAAGGCTTAGGTCAAACCCAGTGGACAACGCTGGGTTTGGGTTAGGTATTTTCTATCAAAAGCAGACCAAGTTATCAGAAACTGATAACTCTTGGTCATAAAAGCTTTATTTGACAGAGATATTGTGCATTAATGAACATTTCTGTAAATGCACCAGAATGAGCCAAGTAGGCTATTTTTCATCTGCAGTCCCTGGACAGATGTAAATAGTCTCCCTAAAGAAAATAACAGTAAAAAGTCATACAGAAATAAAATGCAGTGAAACACAGAATATAGGGGAGACAAAGAAAAACATACAGCACACAATAAAAACACAATTCACAAAGAGATATTTCCAAAGCAATTAGAAAAGGGACCTAGACAAATGGTTACATGTCTACTGTGTTACTTGTTAGCAATAGTTGAGTGAGTATGTTGAAATTTTGTTATTTCTCTAATGCGATTAAGGCACTCTGAAAACCGTGACACTAGGATGCCTCCTGTGAGGTCATGCACAGAGCTGTCTTGTGCCTTTTCAAACAAAAGGATTTTTTACAAATACATTTTGGACATTTTTCAAGTCAAATTATGTTCATTTATATTATTAGTTTTGCCAAAAGACTGTTTTAGCTTGTTGTATTTTTTTTCAAAAAAAAAAAAAAAATTAAGTAATCTTACTTATCTGTAAAAAGTTTTTACTGTTTTGATGTTTTGTTACTGGTCAGAGTACTGGTGCCTCTGACTAGCGTAGACTAGCTAGAAAAGTATGTTTCTAGTGGTGACATGCTCAAATAGTGAAAATTAGGACTGGGTGTATGTATTTTTGGACTCTTGGAATCTTTATATCTAATTTTTCAGACAGAAAAGCACAGGACCACCCTAACTTACACAATCAGCTTTAACAAAAGTCTAACACAATATTACATGACTCTGTTGAATAAAGAATTATGGGCAAATGCCAATGCTTGCGTGCAGCAACCCGCAGATGACATGAACCCAATTTAACGCTGATGAAATAATTTTTCAAGCATCACAGACTTTGAATTTGGACATGAAACTGACCTGAGGTGTGGAAGGAGAGCGTGTCCTTGTGGTTGGACTTGAACAGCCCTGCCCGCTCTTCTCTCTCCTTCCTCAAATCCTCCTCCCTCTGCTTGGCCTGTTTGATCTCCTCGTCCACCAGCGAGATTGTGCTCCGGGAACGCAGCTTGAAGAACGGGTTGCTTAGGAAGATCTTCTCCTCGGGCTGGTCGCCGCATACCTTGTTGAGCGAGTACTCTGAGGCACTGCGGATGATCACGTTGGATGTCTCCAGGATGATGAGACTAGAGCTGGTGTCCTCCGATCGCCACTCACCAGAGCAAGCCCCCAGGTCTTTCCCCAGTCGGTGACCTGACTCACTAGTAGGGTCCACGATGATGACGTTGTGAGCTGACACATCGCCGAGGGGCTCTTTAGTAGGCGACGAAGTTATGATGAAAGATGGTGTCAGAGGAGTGCTGATAGACCTGGGCATATTCAGGGCCAACAATATTATCATCTCATCAATGTATATTGCTCATATCCCCAGACATTATAAAATATATTATATACATTAATATACATACATATATTAGGGGTGATCAATCGGAAATACGTCTCGAGCATCAAAATCAAAGAGAGAATCGACGATCACCTCCCCCTAGCTTTACATACATCAGGAAGGTGTGTAAAGATGTAAAAGCACATGATGGCGCAGAAGATTGTAGCCGGCGGCACTAGTTAGATCAAGAGTTCCCAACGTTTTTAGACTCGCGCCACTACGCTTGTAGTGCTGTACTCGTCAGACCAAAATAAGAGCCTTGCGTATTTTTACTCGCATAGAGGGCTTGGTGGGCTCCCCCCTTAGCAGAGGTGGAGGGCATTTCTTGGGGCACGCCCTCACTGTTGTCCAACTGCGGTAAAGTGGCCCGGCTTTTTGGAGTCCGCTTTATGCTGTTACTTACAGTAAGAGAAGCCACGGGGATGAGCCGCCACAATGCACTTTTTAACATCATTTTCTCTTTAAACAAAAAAATCTAGGAAAATACTTTCACTGCACACTTGTTCACCGTGATTCCCTTGACTACTCTGCAAAGTCAAGGGAATCACAGTGAACTGTGCAAAGTGAGAATTGTGCAAAGTGAGAATCACTTTTACCGTGGAAATTCCAAGAAAATGGGGATCAAAGTGTGCAATACTTAAAAAACAAAAATCATGTTAAAAAGTGCATTTTGGATAAATACTGCACACTTTGACCCCCCTTTTTTTTGTAATTTCCACAGCAAAAGTGATTCTCACTTTGCACAATAGTAGAGGGCATCACAGTGAGTAAGTGTGTAGTGAAAGTATTTTCCTAGTTTTTTTTGTTTTAAAAAAAAAATGTTTTAAAGTGCATTGTGGCGGTTCATCCCCGCGGCTTCTCTTTCCAATGTGACCGTAAGGACCAGCATAAAGCGGCCACCCGCATGTAATGTGTGGACCTCTTTACCTCTGACTCCGAAAAGCCAGGCCTCTTTACCGCAGTGTTTTCGCTGCCCTCTCAGATGTTCCCTCTGCCGTCTTCACACCATCAGCCTCATCTCTGGCACATGTGACTTTTCTCCCCCTCTGGGTGTTTCTGTTGTGAATATTAACCATCTTTCATTTTAAAGAAGGAATTATTTGTTTGTAGCCTCAAAACACCTTTAATTTCAGCAAACAACAGCTGGACACGCTTTGTCGCTGCGCATGATGTAAGCTGCGTAACTTGATTTTGATTGACGCTGTCAATGACTAGGACAAAATTACAAATGTAATTAAAATACATTATATTTTTTTCAGACTCTTCTCCAAACACAATTTAACAAGTAGTCCTTTTGAATCAAATTAAATGCAAATAAATATTTAAGGGCTATATATTTGTTAATTTTTTTTTTGGAAATCATCTTGCGACCCCCCTGGGGTCCCACTTTGGGAACCACTGAGTTAGATAAACTGCAGTTTATGACACCACGGTGCAGCTATAGGAGACGCCAGCTTGAAGCCGCTCCTGCTTCTCTTAAATCACCGGTGTGGAAAATTGTTGCGTTCCCGGTGAGTTATGTCGTCAACGTTTGCGTTTTCTGCGACAATAAAGACCACAGTGCGTAAGATATGTTATGATATGTTAAGATATGCTAAGTGCGCGTACCATACCCGCCCACGGGAAACACTAGGAACATGGCAGGACACATTCGCCGGCGTCACAAAGATTTGACAATAGGGACTAACGCTAATAGTAACGCTATAGGGTTTGATTGGCTGCAGCCTTATTCGGTAGTGGAAAACGCTGGATCTAAACATTTCATTAGCGTACTTGAGCCATGCTGCAGTACACTACAGTACACCGTAAGGAAAATAATTATGACACCCCTAATATATATATATCCAGGACATTCGACATTCAACAACATTTTAGGCGTTATTAACATTTATCAACAACTCTGTAAAGTAAATAAATTGAATAGAAAAGAATAGAGGTTTGGAATCTTAGCTTTGTCCCTCCTCTGGGTCTTGTATATTTAATAATATGTAAAGTTTTACAGCTACACTTACTTTTAAATTTTTGTATGACAAGCGTTTTATAAATTAATGCACTATCATTTAATTGATTGACTGACTACATTATAAACCTAGATTAAATACATGTCTGACTAGTTACATGAAACTTGCTTGACTTAAAGTCACTGCATAATTTACGAAATACGTGAAATGGATTAGTTTAGTGCCATAGAAGATTATAAATTGGCAAACATTTCTTGACTGGGTTAAGAACTAGTGCATTAAAAATAGAGGTCAATATTATTTAATCGACCTCTATTAAATTAAATGTATGTCCGGTGCATCTTAAACTAATTTAGAATTATCAAGTTAATTAATTTAAGCGCATGATTTGACTTCTACCTGGGCATACTCCTTGACGGGGCGCAGTCGGTTGATTTCCCCATCCTGGAAAGCCCTCTCTCTCTCCTGAAGCTCTCTTCCCGCTCCATGGACATCCTGATCTCCTTCTCCACGGGCGTCTCCAAATCCTCATATGGAGATCTATAGCTTGAATCTCCCAGACCTGAATCCTCTGAGCATGGACTGAATTGAGTGCTGGGGTACTCGCCAAAAAGATTCAAATTCTCCAGATTATGGCCTTTCTTGTTCGTCCGTTCGATGTTGCGGACTGGTGTGTACATGAAGCTGTAGCTGCTGTGGAGAGGGGCTTGCTTGGTGCCGGGGACATAAACTTTGTTTTTGGTTTGTCCTTCCATCTCGAGCCACTGTTTGCGAGCCAGCTGAAAATCAACATGTTCTGTACTTACATTGTCGCTCTTTGTCTCCTGGATTACGCAGAAGTCTATGGGGACCTTTTTGCTTTGGTCCATGCTGTCCTCGTCACGACCTTTGTTAAAGTTTATATTTTGAAGTGCATCACGGCCATTTTCACCGTCATCTTCGGAGATTTTGGATAAGCTCTGAACGCCCAACAGGTTACATTTGACCTCTTGTGAGGGAATTGGAATGGAAACAACATCATCTGGTTGTTCTAGAACTTCATCTATTCTTGGCACATCCAGACTGACTTGTATATCACCCTGGTCTTCTTCCACCAGATCGTTCACCTCAACTTTTTTGACAAACAGCTCCTGAGCGCTCAACTGCAGACTATCCAGGTAGGAGTCATCATCTTCTTTATTTATGGATGACGAAAATATTGACCTCCATTTTTCATTTTCGTTTTCGCTATCCGTTAACGCAGACCCAATCTCTGCCTCTGGACACTCTTCCATATCGTCGGCGGGCAGCTCGTTGCAGGACCCATCCGATGCAACTTCTTCGCAAATTCTCTGCTCCAGGTCTGACTCATCTCTGCTGGGTGGGAACATAACTTCGCACTCGTCCTGGTCTTCCAGTAGGTAGTCAGCAACTTCATCTTCTTCCAACTCCTGAGCCTCATGACTAGGGTACATATTGTGGTCTGTATACAGACCTGCTTCCCGATCCAAATCGGGATCTATGTCCAAAATGGAGTCAGTGTAAAGAGTAGCTGCTTGGTATTGCTTCAGTTGTTGATCTGAAAACTGCTCAAAGAGAATTTCTGGATCTGGGAACTCATCGTCGAGTAGACTCAAACTTGGATCTTGGACCATGTCCAGGTCTGCTTCTCTAAAATGTTCTTCCATTGGATCTATATGTAATCCTGTCGGTTCTTGAGACGGCTCTGGCTCTTCTGAAGGCTCTTCATCACATTCCACCTCGAGAACATCTTCTGTCACTTGTTGTGAATTTAGATTTTTTCCTGATAGCTCCTGCTGTTCATCAGGCTCCTCTAATGGCTGCTTTTCAAGTTCCACTTTGGAAACCTCTTCTGGCACTTGTTGCTCCTTTTTTCTCTTATGGGCCTCATTCTCATACACACTGTCAGCACTGGACAAAGTGTCAGAAGAATTTGTTGACTCATTTCGATTTAGTCTTTCATTGACCTCTTCTTCAATAGGAACTTGCTGATCTTGAAGGCGAGATTCTTGAAGAACCACTACAGCTTGATTTTCGGGAAAAAAAAATTCTTGCGTTGGCTTATACTCTGGAGAATCGAGTGAGTCATTCTTCTGGGAAGCTTTTTCATCAAGTGCACTCAGAGGTTGTTCAGACTCACCAGACAGTAATTCCTCCACCCCGAGTGCAGCATTTGATTGTTCACCAGTCTCCATAGTAACAGAAAGAGAGTGATTTTCAGTTATGCTGCTACCTTGGTTCAGTTCCCCACCATGTGCAGTTGAATCCACCAAGGCAGCCGTCTGGGGAGAGAGGCAGGGAACGTGCATTATGACAGAGAACACATACATCAATGTTTCTCTATTGTTGAGATTAGCATCTAAGAAAAAACATATTGGTTTTCACATTTTTAGAGAATGGCTAGGAGACATTGTGAGACATTGAGTAATCAGCCAGTCCTGGGACTTTGAACATTTGATTTTTGCATATTTTGTCATGTTTACCACCCATCCATCCATCCATTTTCTTCCCTTTTTAATAAATTTCTGGGTCAGGGGGGTGGCAATCAGAGGTGCACCCAATTCACATAGCGCCAGCCCCTCACTAGTCCTCCTGCAGGTGGTGAGTCCACAGGAGCCTTGATCGTTCAGTGGGGGCTTCAGGCAAAGTGGGGTTAAGTGTCTTGCCCAAGGCCACAACAACAGCAGTCTACAACCATAAACATATATTTGTACTGAATAATCACAGACAAATGAAAATTATACATTTAATGCAACATAATACAAGCGTTAAACTGTCTCACACATTGCCCTAACAATTAAATAGACTCCTGTGCGCCCTCTTCTACTCTCAGAATAATGTCAGCTGTTCTGTGAGGTCCTCAGAGGTATGGTCGGACTGTATACTTAGCCACTAAACGGCGTAATGAAGGCCAGGGAGAACACCAGAGGTTAGGGGTCAGCCATGAAGGCAAAGGAGCACACCAGAGACGTCAGAAAGCAGGGAAAAAGTCGTGGAGAAGTTTGAAGCATATTTAGATGATGCAAACATTTCCATGGATTTGAACATCTCATAGAGCATTGTTCAATACATTATTCGGGAATGGGGAGAATATGGCGCAATTGCATATCTACTGAGACTCCTTCTGTCTGTCCAAACACACAGCTCCAACAAGGACAACACACACAGATGCAGACACAAGGACAATGGTTAAAAAAAACAGACAAGACAATAAACATAAGTTTTGCCTAAGTAGGCAAGCATCACTGTGGTATAATATCCAACTGCACACTCAAAAACAGAATTTTAGGAAGCTGTAGAAGCTATGTTATCACTCCCACTCGGAGCTTCCCCACAGAGTGGAGAACAAGTTTCTGAAACTACATGAATGCCCTTCGAAAGGCTCAAACTCAATACTACTCAACTTTATTAGAAATAGATTCTAGTAGATTTTTGTTCAGCACAGTTGCTAAACTAACCAACTGCTACAGCGTAATAGAGCCTAAAATACCAATCTCTCTTAGCAGTTTGGATTTTAAATTCTTGAATTATTTTATAACAAAATTACAACTATCCACAGCAAACTAGAGGAAACCACCCCCAATATTAGTGATGAACAAAATGAAGCGGTAAAGTTAATGTCCCACTCAGTGATTCTTTTATATATTTTTTCTGCATAGTTAGCCTGGCCTTAGCCATCCGTACACTCCGCTCAATCATCATTTCACTGCATGTAACGGCTACTCCCCATGGGCTCCGTTAGCTGCAAAGGAGATGGCTAGGCTAAATGCTATCGACTCACTGGGGCGCATTACATAAGTCACGGTAAACTCAGATCCAATCGTTTCAATCTGCAAAAGTAGTTAACCCCTCCTATCTGTAAACGGAGCTCAATGGAGCACCTCCAGACCTTAGTACGAAATATAATTTGTACTATGGTGTGGTACGCCCAGGCTACTACAAAGTTCGTGCAACTTTATTGCCAAACTCTTTGTGACTTATTGTATTAAGAAAGTGTGTGTTAGTCGCACATTTTTGTGGCTGTTTTATTACCTTTCCTGTGTGGAAGTTGTATATTTTTTGTTTTATTCTACTGAAGGTTTATAATAATACACTGCATTCTTACTGACAGCCACAAGTGTCAGCTCTCAAATTCTTTTGAAATGATGTTTCTATGTGAGCATATATCCTTTAAAGCAGGGGTGCTCACACTTTTTCAGCATGCGAGCTACTTATAAAAGGATCAAGTCAAAATGATCTACCTACTACAAAAATGCAAATCATATATTTCAAAAAATATTCTTTATATCTACAATGTATGTTTATGTACATGCAAAACCGCATGAGCCAATATAGCAAAACACAACACAATTACATATGTACATTTTTTGTCATTACCCGAGTTTACTCTGATGACTTGCACTGAATTGAATCGGCCAGGGATGCATAGTCCGGAAAATTGGTGGTAACTCGCTGACAAGTTTGTCGTGGTTTAGCTTTCCTGCACTGAGCGCGGTTGTTTGCGCATGTGCAGTCACCTATGTGTCAGTAAAACATTACTGAGTAAAAGACAGTTGTCATTTGACTGTGGTGCCATGTCCATGTGCCATGCCTGTTTTTTTTTAAATCCAAATATTTCCCCTCCTCAGTTTATAAAATAATTTGCATCCACACATCTGCGTTATCAATCACATTCGTAACATTCCAAACATGTGCGTCTCTTACGTCCTGTCCTGCGTTGGGGAAAAACACGGAAGTGGGCGGAGCTTTGATGCAGACGCCGGTAACGGCACTTTTACAGTCATAGAAGACACTCAGAGTAAAGAGTAAGACGTATGTTTACAAGCACTGACCCCGTCCTCAGCCCTGGTTTAGTCCTGGTTTAGTCCTGGTTTAGTTCTGGTTTGGTTGTTTTCGAGCGTGAGTCCCCGCGATCACTTTGCTGCTCTCTGATGTGGAGGATGTTCGCTGCTGCGAGCATCTCACAGCGAACAGTTTTTAAGGTAGTATGATCCATGCTTCAGTGATCAGAGGAATTTAGGGGGGTACTGTGGCGTGCGAGAACGCAAAACTCTGGTTATCTCTGTCTAAACACAAATGCATTAACGGAGTTTTCAAAAATCTCCACTTTGCCCGGAGTTTTTTGTATATATTTGTTTAGAAGGTGTAATTTTTTATTTATTTAATGCGATCTACCAATACTACCTTTGCGATCGACTGGTAGATCGCGATCGACGTATTGAGCACCCCTGCTTTAAAGTGACAAGAATCAAGCGGGAATATAACATCTTAGCTACTGTGATTCATTCACAAGGACGCCCACCCACACTCCACAGGGAAAGGCCTTATTCACAGGAGCGATCGGCACACTCGATGTTCTGAAGTACCCCCGTACCATCAGCACTCTATTAGCCACTTAAGGAAAGGATAAAGTAAGAACACATACTGAATGGTTTGTGCTGTTCCCTCACAGTCCCGCCATCTTCCTTCATAGAATCCTAAAGAGTGTAATGTAAGCAAATGTGCAATGACTCTTTAAGAAGTCATTATGCAGAAGTGAAACACACACTTCTGCATAATTATGGCCCAACAGTAAAATCTTTATTTTTGAATAGTAGATAGAGGCCGTATATTAGAGAAATATTAATAGCCTAAAGTTTATGTATGGGTTGTTACCCGCAAAAACTAACATGCCTCCCAACCTTCCAATGACCACCCCGCCCCCGTGAAGCACTGTTCCCACTAAAGACACTAGACAAAGGGTCCAGAGTTTGTGGTTGGCGTAGGGTTACACTGCATATTGTGCAGGGTAATGTATCTCAATGCAAGAAGAAAAAAAAAAAAATTGAGATTCAAGAATGGTTACAGCAGTGTTCCCCAACCTTTTTGAGCGGTGGCACACCTTTGTCATTGCAAAAAATCACATGACAAACCACCAACTGAATGTGATACAACACTGAGACTCTACAACCTTTATTAACAAAGCAAAGTCATTCTCATCAATGTGTATTATGTAGAAAATAAAACATGACTTTTCACAGGATTTTGACCAAGCAGGTGATATTGGATCATTTCCAAGGCACACCAATAAACGTGCCACGGTACACTGGTTGAAAAACACTGGGTTACAGCAATGACTTTCCAGTGTTCCCCTTTCAGGTTTTAGTAGTGTGTGGCACCTAGGGATGTAAAAAACTATGAATTGTCATGACCGACCACCAAGCCTCATTAAACGGTTGAAACCGGTTAACTGCGTAGTTTAAAATATTCCACGTTCTTTGAAATAACAGCCAATAAGAGCCGCGTACTTTCCATAAGTGCAGCTATGCGTTCTACTGGATCAGAGCCGAGACAGCGGCGCCAAAACCCGCAACAGCTTCGGCACCTTCGTGCACAGAGAACTGCTTTTTTTAATCTTCCCATTCTTCTGTGCTGCGGGTTAAAGCTTTTTACCAGCAAACGACAGCTCGTTCAC